TAAATAACTCTTGCCAAGTTAACTGACCTCTCATCAGTTAGGTCTGTGTCCGTCCGTCCGCCTGTGGCCTTGGACTTGTGCCTCCGCCCCTTGCCGTGCACGAGGCGCTCCAGCCAGTGCTTCACGTGTGCGTTCATCATGACGACCCTGTAAGAGCGCCAGCCCACGTTTTGGATGACAGATCTGGCCTTTAAAATACCGAATAATTTACCCAAATGTCACCTGGCTAGCAGGTGGCAGGGCCGGGACTCAAGCCCTGGGCTCTTAGCCGCTGGCCGTGTGGCCTTTGCCAAGGCAAACATCGCACCTTCCTGGGCCTTGGCTTCTTCCATCTAAAATGGGGGCGCAGCCCCTGTTCTACGTAGGGCACGGTTCCAGGAAGAAGAAAGGTAGCATCTGTGGAACTACTTTTAGAAGAGACAGAATATCGGAGAAGCTCGGGACAAGGAGTTGGGAAAAGCAGCGTGTGCCACACGCCTCCCGACTTCCACCTGCGGGGCGATTTTCTCCTTCCCTCCTTGATAAGACTTACCGTTGGGGGTCTTGGAAGGGAAAAGTCTGCGTCTCAGGGCCAGAGACAGAGCGGAAGGCACGGAGTTTCCCCTTCCTGGCTTCCGGGTGAGCTCTCTAACCCTAAGGAACACGCCCCCTTCTCAGCCGAAGCGTAAGCACCCAGGCGGCTGTAGAACTTTGCTCCATGGTTGCGACCGCTGTGTCGTGTTTGCTCCCGGGGCGGGAGCCTGTGCTCGCACACCGTCCCGAGGAACCGCACTCCGTCCGCGGGGCGTGGGCCGGGGACACGAGGGTGTGCTCCTGAGCGCCCCGCCCCCCTGCCCCGCCGGCCTCACCTCCAACTTGCTGGCTGAGCTCGAGTGAATCTCAGCCATTGCCCTTACAAAGGGCGGAGGCAGCCACTCCCAACCAATGCCAGCTCATCGTCTCCCCTAGCGGCCCTTTTAGAAAGATGAACAGGGAAAGGGAACCACAAAAGAGTTGGCATTCACCCAAGCAATCGAAACACCCCCCGGGTCGTCCCCGCCGCGTGACCGTACCGCCACGGCGCCCTGTCTGGCGCTCCGGTCCTTCCCGGGTGGCTCAGATGTCCCACATGGAGGTTCAGACGGCCCAGTGTTAAAAACAAAGCAAGTTCACCGTTCACTTGGAAGTCGCCGTGTCACCGCAAACTCAGTTACGTGATCGTAAGGTGGCACGGCTTGGGAGCTTCTGAAGCCCTTGTCCCGACCTCAGTGGTGCCTATAAAAGGGTGGCCTGCGGGAAGTGACGCGGCCGACGCGGTGCTGCGCAGACGGTGTGACGGCAGGGCTGGCCTCACAGCCGGGCTTGGGCTCAGCGGCTCCCAGCAGCTTGTCCCCTTATCCTTCAGAGCACCCGGCTCCTAGATTGTGTCTGTATTTCGCCGAGACTCCCGAACCTGTGAAGCGTCTTCTCCATTTCCTGACTAGAAGACTCAGCTGGCGTGCGTTCACCGAGCTGCTTGCTCGCAGGACAGGGCAGCGCTGTCCCCTTGGAGGTGAAGGGCACCCAGCAGCCCTCAGGCCCGCACCTGTCCGGCCGGGCCACGTTTGGGACCCTCACAGCACACCCTCTGAAGCCAGAGATACACGGTCCAGTTCTTGCCCCCTGTACCCCGCCCCTCCCTCTCGCCGTGACCCTGCTCTTTGTGAAAGGTTCTCAGGCAGGAGGGGTCCTCATTGCCACTATCGGCAGTGTCTGAACTTGGCTGTGTTGAGACGATTTCTCATAGGGCGGGGCTCCTGGGAGGCCCTCTGGAACCCTCCGCAAGCAGCTCAAAGCTCTGCTTCTGTATTCCAGAACTGTACGTGGGCTGCAACAATAGACTAGGTACAGCCTTCAGAAAAGGTGCCTGCTTCTGAACGACACATCGCCGTCTCCAGCTTGATGCGTCCATGAAGAGCCCCACAGTGAAACTGGGCTTTTTGAACTTGGTTTGGGGGTCACTGTAACCAAGTCTGAGTTTGTTTCACTTGCTGTGTGGCAGGCCAGTAAGTCAAGAGGCCAGGTGTTGGGGTCAGGAAAGTGACCCTGCCCGGGAAGCCAGCAGACCAAGGTGGCGGACCGTCATCCCGGAGAACCATCTTGCCTCGGCACAAATGCAGGCTTCCTTTGTGTCGAGAGAAAGGGCGGCAGGAGGGGCTGGAGTCCAAAGGTGGCCGATGACCGCAAACATCCGGGAGCCAGAAGGGGTCTGAGAGGGACCGTGAAACTCCTTTGTCCTTGGTCACTCGATCTTTGCAGATAGGAAGCCTGTCACCATGGTCCTGTAAGTCTTGGACACAGCGACGTTATTTCTATACGTACTTCCGTATCTGCTCAGGGGAACGTGGGGTTCCCGTCGGGCAGTTTGTACGAGTCTCGGCCGTCCGCCACGTTCCTTCAACAACTAGCACGCTCACGCGCAGGGCTGAGCGCGGGTTTCCAGACCCCGGGTCACGGCAGCCAAGGAAATGGAGCAACGTGGAGTCCAGACGCACCAGGTTTTCCCAGCGTGGTAGTGTCTGCAATGTGTTACGATGACACAGGTCACCAGCTTTTCTGGTGATTTGTATCTCAGTTTCCTGCCAGTGCCAGTTTTCAGTCTCTCAAGAATAAATCTGTGCAGGAACCCAAAACCATTGAGCACGTGGGGTTTTTGTATTATTTTTCACGCCTCAGGGGGACGTCTCCGCAGCTACGTGCCTTCGCAGCGTTTCCGCAACCTTTGGGTGCAGATGGCCTCCAAGCAAACCATGCAACGTCCGGGCTCGTCCACAACCCTAGATGTTTCTCATCTGTCTCGTCTCTACTGCAAAAAAGCCAACGTCGATACCTCGGTAGGACTGCTGGGATGACATCCGGTCCCGTAGACCCACCAAGTTTCCCAGGCCCCAGAGTTGTTGTTAAAAGAGATGAAGTAAAACGTCCTGGAGACATGAAACCGAAGCAGAGTCCCCGCGCTTTCCCTCCCCCACTGCCCAAGCCGCTTTCAAGGCCGGGAGCCCGGACCCGGGAGACGCCGCTGAAATTCAGGACCGGGGTGAACCACTCACCGCCCCCCAAATCCCTGGCTTCCTAGGCTCCGGCCAGGTTGTCTCTGTTTTCTCAGAAGAAAAGAAGTCGGGGTTGTGCACGACACCCGAAGCCATTCACTGGAGCAGAGATGTCGGGATCGAGCACACCGCCGTTCTCCGCGGCTTGCAGTTCCCAGCTGCTCCTCGCAGAGGACGGACAAGGTGGCCGCACGCCCGGGGACGGTGGGAGGAAGGAGGGACCCTCGTGGGCGTCCCTCCCCGAGCCTGCTCCCCGCCGGGGAGTGGCCTTGCCCCGCTCCCTGCGCCACCTCCTCCGCACCCGACCGAGGGCGCAGCTTTGAAAGTTCCTGAAAACACGCAAAGAGGGGTGTCACCATACACAGGAAGGTGGTTATTCCAGAACCAGAATTAAGAATCATTCACGTGTCAGGGGCGCCTGGGCGGCGCAGTCGGTTAAGCGTCCAACTCTTGATTTTGGCTGAGGTCATGATCTCCCAGTTCATGGGATCCAGCCCCACGTTGGGCTCTGTGCTGGCGGCATGGACCTGCCTGTGGTCCGCTCTCTCCCTCTCTCTCTCCGCCCCTCCCCCTCTCGTGCTTTCTCTCTCAAAGATAAATAAACTTTTTTTAAAAAGAGTAATTCAGGGGCGCCTGGGTGGCGCAGTCGGTTAAGCGTCCGACTTCAGCCAGGTCACGATCTCGCGGTCCGTGAGTTCGAGCCCCGCGTCAGGCTCTGGGCTGATGGCTCGGAGCCTGGAGACTGTTTCCGATTCTGTGTCTCCCTCTCTCTCTGCCCCTCCCCCGTTCATGCTCTGTCTCTCTCTGTCCCCAAAATAAATAAAAACGTTGAAAAAAAAAATTTTTTTTTTTAAATAAATAAAAATAAAAAGAGTAATTCAGGGGCACGTGGGTGGCTCAGTGGGTTAAGCATCTGACTTCAGCTCAGGTCACAATCTTGCGGTTTGGGAGTTCGAGCCCCACGTCGGGCTCTATGCTGACGGCTCGGAGCCTGGCGCCTGCTTCGAATTCTGTGTCTCCCTCTCTCTTTGCCCCTTCCCTGCTCATGCTCTCTCAACAATAAATAGATGTTAAAAAAATTAAAAAAAAAAAAAAAAGAATGATTCGTGTATCAAACAGACTAAGCTTTGACAATCACGTCTCTAATCCCCACTGATATGTCTGGCTGCAAAATCAGTCAGGTTGCTGTGCATGTTTAAGGCACTTGGCTGTGTCGTCAGGGGACCCCGCTTGCACAAATCTCTGTTCCTTCTGTAACTGTTTGCTTTTTCTCCCATTCTCCCTTTAAAACGAAATTCCTGTCATCCCAGGATTTAGCCGTTCCCAGATCACAGAATTTTATATACAGAACAGTTGCCTAATATCTCAATATTCATGTCGATACGTGTTTCCTATATGTGGCCAAGTATGTCTCCTACTTAAAGGGAAACCCATAGGGGCACCTGGGTGGCTCGGTCGGTTAGGCGTCCGATTTCGGCTCAGGTCATGATCTCGTGGCTTCGTGGATCGAGCCCCACGTCGGGCTCTGGGCTGACAGCACGGACCCTGCTTGGGTCTCTCTCCCTCTCTCTCTGCCCCTCCCCTACTTGTGCTGTCTCTTTCTCTCTCAAACTAAATAAACTTTTAAACACTTAAAGAATAATAATAAATAAAGGGAGGCCTTAACTATAATCTTGCAGAGGAACACTAATCCTGGGATTTGAATCTGTGTAAGAAAAACACGAAAATATCTAAATTCTACCGGGTGAAACCTAGAGTCAGGTGCCCACACTCCCTTCTCCTGGAGAAGGAAGTGATGGTAAGTGGCCTAAGCAGAGCCCAGGAGGGGACGTCACCTGCACGGGCACCCGGTGCCTCTGTTTCCTCGCACAGCCCCTTACAGACACAGGCCCGCGTGCACATCTAACGTTATGCCTTTGGGCTTGTTTGCAGACGACCACTCCAGGGTCCTGCTGAGATCGGAGAACAGCCACAGCAGGTCGGACTACATCAACGCCAGCCCCATCGTGAGTACCTCCCCACGTGCGCCCCCACCCCCGGTCACGAGCGGATACGGCCTCAGCCGGCCGGTCAGCTCGTCTCCTCCGAGTACTAGCCAACTAGGCACTTAGTCTCCACCGGATGACCGGTGAGCCAGCTGACTCATCACCAGCCGGCCTGGGCTGGGTCCTCGCCGGGAGAGAGCTGTCCTGGGTCCGCTGGCTAACTGACGAGAAGCGTGAATTTCAGGAAAACGTACAGTCGGTTGTGCCCCTCTCTCCCAGACCCACTTGTTCCCTGTTTATTCAGGGGGAATGGACAACGTTAGACCCACCGGCCCCTTGATAAAATGACGGAGGGCGCCGGGCAGGTGTGTGCGCCGGCTGGTCTCCGTGGGTGTTTCCAGGGCGGATCTACTCCTGAGGACGGGGAGCGAGCGCAGGGCTGTGCCTCCGCGGGCCGCGCTCTCTGCCTCTGAGACCGCAGAAGCCCCTGGGGGAGACCCCCGACAGGTGTGGGCCTCTCCCGTCACAGACGCTGTGGGAGCAGTGGCGGGGCGGGGGGGGGGGGGGGGGGGCGGGCGAGGACGGACTAATCGAGGCTCAGCCTGGCTTTTCAAAACGAAGTTGGAACGATTCCAAGGGGGAAGAAAGTAAAATGAGGGTCCGCGGAATGGATGTGTTAAAGCACGTGGTTGACGGTGGAGAGTGTGGGAGCCGGTGGGGATTTGTGGGGGAGGCTGGTTGTGGTCCCCCCTCAGCAGCCCCGCAAACTGTGCAGGGAAGCTTCAGGACGTCACAGCGCCATCAGATGTGCGTTCAGGCAGACGCAGCGCTCGTGGGACTCCGGCTCAGAGCGCGCCGGTGACGTGTGGATGGCTCCGTGAAACCCCGGGCCGTCCCTGGATTCGTCCTGACAACCCCTCCCAGCCCCCAGGAGCAGGCTCTACATGAGAACATGTGATCGCAAGCCGCGGCCGTGGACGGTGGACCGTTCTCATGGCTGCTGGTTCCATGTACCTCAGGAAGCCTGTTGTGGGAGTCCGGTACGCCCCGGTCAGACCCCGTCTGCGGCCCTCTCGGCCCACAGCGGGAGCAGTGCGTGACATGCTTGCCGCGAGGAAGTGGGTTAAGAGCCGGTCTGCTGCTCTGCCTACACCCCCTGAGCCCAGACCTCAGCTCCTGCAGTTATTTTTAGGAAGGAGCCTCGTTACTTCGGCACAGGTGGCCCTCAAGGGTCGGTTCCCTCCGCGTCCCGAAGGTTCTCATTCGGAGCCATTCGGTCTCTCTCAGTAAGTGCCCTGTGCCGTGCGCGGTGCTTTTGTGTCATTTCGGATTCTGAAATCAAGCCAGAGCCCCATCGGGGCCAGGAAGAGAAATAACACAGTTCTTTTCAGGTCTGAACGATGCGAGTCCAGAGTTGGGGCGTGCCCAGCTCCCCCCACTTCGACGGGTTCCAGCTTCCCGATGTGTGCGCACTTGAAGCCGAAGCGGGTTGCGGGAACCCGCTGCCCCCTGGACACCTGCAGCAGCGCTCCCGCGTTCCGGCCTCCCCGGGCCTACCGGGCAGGGGCCTGGTCCGAAGGCGACGCCCGAGAGAGAGGGATTTAAGGCCTCGTTTATGTTTCCCTTTTATCTCATGCCACAATTCTTTCTCTTTTTTTAACTCGGGCTCTAAGAAAGAAGCACGGAACCTCTTCTTCCTGAAGTAGCCGGAGGACGGTGACAATGCGCTTCCGAGCGGCGGCTGGACGCAAAGCTAACGGTCCCAGCCCCGGAAGACCCTGGCCGTGCGGAAGAGAAGTAGCAGAACTGCATCTGTCACGTCTGTACTTGGCCTCGTCAAATGCCAGGGAAGTCCTTGGCTCGTAAATAACGTGCAGTCTTCGCTTTCAGATCAGAGGTCAGGAAAGTAAACGGGAACCCCGTTTTCCCGCTCAGCACGGCGGAGGGACGCCCACCAGCCCCGCCTGAGAGCGCAGCGTGGCTGCGCCTGGGACGCGGACTGACTCGGGGCAGTAACGCCCATTTGCTCGAAACTGCACGCAAACTTCTTTACGGGAACGGGTCTGCAATTACCCATACTTGAAGCTAAACTTGCTTTCATTCCACTCTTTATCGAGGGAGAAAAAACCTGTTCAAGTTTTAATTCAGAATGCACGGAACGAATACAGGTACGCACGGACGCCTCGGGAAAGGAGGGCTGGTCTGATGTCCTGAATGTCGTAAGAAAGCGGCCAAATGTGGGAGCCAGCTGTCTGGTTCTCAGAAAATACCCATGAGCAAACATCCATGTGTGTCTGTTGTAGCCTATAATTTACTTAAATCTCAACTCAGACAAATAAAATATGAAAGTAACTTCAGCTCCTAAGTCAGCCTCCCTCACATCGATTTCCGAAGCTACCGTTTCTCGGTAAATTCTCCCATGAACACTTAGTGTCGGGAAAAGTGGCTCAAAAACTCAGGTTTGATATCTGCTTGTTTCTAAGAAAACGTTCTGTGAAGTTTGCTCGAAGCATCAGAACGATGGGGCAGGTGGGTAGGCATTCAGAAAGAAAACACGCGTGCGTACTCTCCGAGATCTCAGAGTAGAGGCGCGGCCCCGCACCCCTCCCGGGTCGTGGGGTCAGGGTGAAGGCAAGGCCCCGTGGGCGCAGGAGCAGGGCTGGCGCCCCCCCCCCCCCAAAGACACATCGGCGTGCAGACGGCCGGTTTCTTCCGCGGTGCTCTTGGAGGCTTCAGGACGTGGGCCCCTGGTCTTGACAGGCTGAATGCTTGGGTTTAACAATCTGTTCTGCTGGCACTACTGGAGGAATTATTGCTGAGTTTTTAATGCACGTTAGAGTTTTGAAAACGACTCACACCTAGTTAAAAACTGCCATCCCGCGGCTTCTGGCAAGTGGCGAGGTGTGTTTTCTGGTACGTCGTACCTGTGCATATAGAAATTCATAGCGATACACCCTTCCGGCTCCCCGCCTCCTTTGGTGTCTTCGTAAGAATCAGCCAGCCACGTGGATAAGGGATTCAGCACAAACAAACGGTTTTCCTCTCTCTGGGGAAAAAAACAGACAGGAAAAGCAAAATCGTGCTGTTGATTATACTCGGGACCTGGCACCCTGTGGCCCTCACTTAACATGCAGTCACTCGGCGTTAAGTCACGTTTGATTGGACGCTTCTGTCAGGCGGTCCACGAAGGAGAAGGCCACCCGGGGGCGTGGGGCATACACGCACAGGCTCTCGCTGATAGTCTCAGGTGGCCGCCAGGATACCCACACAGGCACGCACGTGGAATCCTGGAAGGAACGGGCACGTGGAGGCCCTGGTGCAGCACATCTGGTCCCAGACGCCGGGACGGAGGCCAAGAGACGGGAGCTGACTCTCCAAGGTCCCGGAGCTCGTGTTGGTGAACATCACAGATGTACAAGGAAACAGTACACGACAAAGGAAAGGAGGATAACGAGAGAGGATGGGGAGGAGACACAGCACAGACAGTAGGAAGCAGCAGGCGCCACGTTCACTCGCGCGCTGGGAATGGTAGCGGAAGACACGCGTCTGCATCCACGTCCACGTGTTGGGGTCGCGGCCCGAGTTCCTGATGGAAAAGGCAACGTTAGTAGAAACTTACTTGATTGCCTCTGCTCACACTTAACCTGCCTTGGAAATCTTAAATATAAAGCTTCTGTTCACTTGGTGAAATATTTGCTTTGCGTTCCTCGGTTAAAGACCGCCCACGACCATCAGGCTTTCTGTCTCCTGGTATTTGCCACGCGCACAACATGCGCGACGTGCTTCTGCCCAGAAACATTTTCCGTTCAACAGAATGTGCACGGGATGAAGTCACCGTAATTGTCTTTGAGTCATTGTTGCGCTGATGACACATGTCGCCGCTCTGGGATCATTATGCTATTTACTGCCTCCCGAGTGGCAGCCACGTGACCGCCTCCGCGGCCCGAGCCGCGTCGTCCCTCGTCCGGGCGCCTGAGCGGCGGGGTGGACCACGGAGCCCTGCCGCGGTAGGATGCCTCATTTACGCTGCTGAAGCCCTGCTCAGGTTTTTACTCCTCGTCACAAATCTCTCAGTTTGAAAGCAGCTAAGCCGCTAGTTTGAACATAGTAACGATTTTTAAACGAGACGCTCTGTAAATTGCTGTGGGCAAAAAACCACGTTTGAAAAGGAGGTGGGTTTTACTTTTCTTGCAGAATCATTTGCTGGGAAGGGATGGGGTTTTTGTAAATAGCTGTCACCCCCACAAGTGCATATTTTGAAAAAATCAAAACTCCTTATTTCTGCTAAGCTTTTCTACTGAAACGTTTTCATTGGGGCTTGCGGAGAGAGAAACGTAATTTACCTGTATTGTGTGTGTCGTGGCGAATTTGAAAACGAGGTCCGGCTGTGACTGGGAATCACTCAACTGGAAGCAGAGAAAGACTTCCTGCTCCCCAGCCCCAGCCAGCGTCCCACTGTTGTCACATGGGAATGACCCACGCCCCCCCCCCTTCCACGCGCGCGTAATTATTGGGTGCGCGTGAGCGCTCTCGTGCCGACGGCCGTCATCCCTGAAGGGCTGGAGGCGCGGATTCCCCGGACCGCGCCTCCCACGGGCTGCTCTCTGAGCCCGGCACAGGGCCGTGTCTCAAGGTGGCTCTGGCCTTCACACTGACGTCCTCGCGTGTTGCCACAGATGACGTGTGGTTGAAACTTCCTCCTTTCTCGCTGTATTGGGAAACGTATCCTTAATAAGTGTCTTCGACTGCAGAGAATTTCAAATCCGTGATCAAACCCTGGCATCACAAGAGTAAACTCTAGTGCCTGATGGGAAAGAATCAGGCACTGAGCGCGTCTGGAGGTGAACTGCCACCACGAGGCCCGTCCGGGCCTCGGCGGGGAGGGGGGGCTCCCAGGTTCCTTCTGGAGCGCATGGCGGGCAGGGCCGTCCTTGGGGACACGACGCTGATGCCCCCGCGCTCTGGGGCCGGGCGCGACCCCAAGGGGAAAGGGCCGTCCGCACGACAGCCCTCCGCCAAGCTTCGTTCCTCGACCCTTTGCCCCTTCTTTTCTTCGGCTCAGTCTTTGAATTAAATGTTGTAATTAAGGTACTTTGAGCCAGACTCCCTCTGTTGAGGCCAGCAGGCTGCTCTCGGACGAGTCCGCCGGCCAGAAGACCCACGACCGCATTCTGCTGTTTGTTTGTTTTCAGCCCCTTGCCTGGCACAGTAGGAATAGAATCGGAAATGAGCGGCTGGAAGGCTGGGCCGCGTGTCCCGGGGCGGGTCTGCACGCGGTGCTCGCAGACCCCCCGGACGACTCGGTGTGCCGGAGCCCTTTCGGGGCCACAAAAATGAGCTCCCCACCAGAGGAGCCGACTCTTCCTGGGGGGCAAGGTGCGCCTGTTCGTCAGTTCTTGCCCGCCCCCGGGGGGGGGGGGGGTTGGTTCGCGGGCTCCCCGCCCACCCAGAGCCTGGGCCTCCCCACTCCCAGCCCCACACCTGTGGCTCTCACAGAGGGCATGCTGTGAGCCCTGCACGTGGCCTACGGTGGGTGTGCAGGCTGCTCCCGCTGGCAGGTGGCCGGGGTGGAGGCCGCTCAGGCGACGCGTGGCTGAGCTGCTCTGCCACGGTGGCATCCGTGGAGACGCTGCGGTGGTGACACCCCACGCTGTGCGCCGACCGCTGGCCTCTGGCCTCTCTGATCCGCCGTCCTCGTTCGGGCTCGTGCCGCTCTCCCGTTACCTGCGTATCAGGCGTACGCAAGGCATCCCCGCGCCATCCCCAGGCTCCGAGCACAGGCCGCGAGGGCTCCCCCTAAACTCCAAGCGCCGGGGCGTCCCGGGGGACCCGAGGAAGACCAGCCTGCTTCTCTCGCCTCCGCACACGCCGTGTGTCGATGCGGCACTGGGCGCGGGACGGGCCGCCTTCACCTCCTCCGTAGCCGGTGCCTTACTTCCTGGGTTTTTGCTAGCTTGGTAGCTAACCTTTGTTACTGTAATCCTATCTCTGCAGATGGACCATGACCCCAGGAACCCTGCCTACATCGCCACCCAGGGACCCCTGCCCGCCACCGTGGCCGACTTCTGGCAGGTGAGTCTCGTTTAATTAAGACTTCCTTCTGAAAACCAGATCTTACGTGTCGACGGTGCGCAATGCCCTGGATCCCACGAAGCACATTTAAACGTGTTTAGAGGCATTCATCAAGTGTTACCTGCTTTCAGAATTTAAATGAGTCTTTTAATATTTTATTATTAGTCTTCTTTTTTCAAAACTTGAGGATACAAAATTCCCTTTGAGGGACTGAACGCTTTAAAGACTCTTACTTTAACCCCCGTACAGTTGTATCTTATGAAACATGAAGAAATGGAATTAGTAAGCATTTAAATTGTTACAAAGTGTTCAATGTGTCGTCTTCTGTTGTTCTCCTCTGATGAGGGTAGAAAATGGTGTTCAAATCATAGTTTCTCTCCCTCTAATGCATTCGAAAGGCCAGGCTGGTCTGTGTCCTTCCGCACGATCCTGACACCCAGCCAGGCCCAGGCGCTGAGAACCGCTGAGAGCCGGAGCCAGCGAGAGCAGGACCCGAGAGCAGGCGTCCTCCCCGGGCACCGGCCGGGCCGCAGGGCTCCCATCCAGCGGAGGACGCGGTCAGGAGGGCGGTTCCACCAGCGCTGTGACACGTACGTGGACGCAGCGGCTCGCAGGCCCAGGGCGGCAAGCCCGTCCCCCCCACAGCAGCATGGCGACGCATGCAGACTGGGCTGTTTCGGATCCCGGTGGTGACAGCAGCTCCTGAGGGCAAACGCGTCACCGGGCTAAGGGTCACTCAGCTGACCCGTGCCGCACGTGTCCTCTGCTCCTCGGAGGCTCCTGCCCCGACTTGCCCGTCAGCCCTCTCCGGCCTCTCCACCCGAAGGAGGGACCCGTCTCGGCAGCGGCTTTCTGCAAAGTCGGGACGGGTCCAGGGCCCGCAGGGGGCCGGCCGGCGCCCCCTGCCCTGTGAGCGTGTCGCTGCACGGGTACCACGGCCTCCCCGCCCCAGCAAGCGGAAACCCAGATTGGAGCACGTCTGCACGGCCCCTCCCTGGCAACCTTCACGCTACTGGAAAAAATAAAACACACCGGACCTCAGAGTCGTGGCGCCCAAACTTGTAACCACGGCACAGAGCCCTCGAACTGCAGCGTTGGGAGGGGGCCGAGGAACCGGTCCCACCACCCACGAGATGCTGGATTTCTCCATGTCGCCCCGACAGCGGTCACGCAGCCTGAGTGGGGTGCCTCCCTGCACGGGGAGCTCGGTGCCCGCGGGCCGCCCGGTCCCGGCACAAGCACTCAGGCAGGAACTTGGCGCCGGGGCCACGGGGGCCGCGTGAGCCCGTGGGTCCCGGCTCTGCTCTTCCAGCGTGGCTGACGCTCCAAGGAGAACCCGCCCGGTGCTGTTCCGCTGCGTGGGGTCCCCGGCTTCTTCCGCTCCGGAGAAAAGGACCTGGAAGGTTCCGAGGCTGCCGACGGAATTCCTGTGTCTCTGCAGAAGCTCCACGTTGCCCTAACCGTTCTCCGAAACGTGCATCTTTCCCCAGACACAGGCTGTTGCCTTTCTCCCAGCCGTTACCTCGCACGTGTGACACGGCTCTTGTGAACAGAATCTCCCCCGAGTGCTCGTGGCACTTCACGGCGGGAGTCATTGCTCAAGGCCACCGGCCACCTCCCACGGACCAGGCCGGGTGCTACCAGCCGCGTGCTTGGGCACATAATCTTTGTGGTCCGCAGGACTCAGAGGCTCGTACTTCGCCCGCGGCCACGTGGCGTGGGAGTGGCGCTTCCCACGGAAGGCTGTGGTCGTCGGGGTGATTCGTTCCATGAGTATCTGCAGCCCCTAAGTTCTCAAGAGCATGTGGGGGCCCAACACCCAAGAGATACGTTCGTGAGATGGAAGAAAACTTCTCTAAGTGAAGTAACGCCAGGAAACTAAGCATGAGACCACCCAAGACACACGGCAGCTGCCACGATCGCTCTGTCCGAGGAAACCCCAGCGTCCCTCAAAGTGGTACCAGGTCTCCCAGGACAGGCAGGCTTTGTGGCCGACGGGCTCGCCCCTCCGGGGACTGTTGGCCACAACCGCACGTGGAAGCCGCTGACAAATCCTGTCCTGAAGAAGCCGGTTTCGCTCTGTCCCATCCGAATGCCCTTGACCGCGACGCCGTGGTCTTGAGGAAGCAGCAGAGGGAAGGGTGTCGGCACAACTTTTCCGTGGCTGCTCTGGCCGCTGTAACAAGGTGGCACGGAAGCTCCCGAGGCCAGAGGTCCGAATCTGGGCTTGCGCCTCCGCAGCTGGCTTCCGGTCGCGGCACTGCTCGTGGACGCACCGCTCCCGCCGTGGAGGCTCGCGGGCATACCGCTCGGTGTGGACGGCTTGTGGACGCACTGCTCCCGCCTCTGCCTGCATCTGCACGGTGACTGCCCACGGGGTGTCTGTTCTGTGAGCAAACTTCCCTCCTAGAAGGTCACGGTCGTTAGACTCAGGGTCCATTCTGACCAGTGTGGCCTCCTCTGCAGAGGCCCGGTTTCCAGAGAAGGTCACGTTCACACAGGCTGCAGGCGTGCATGGCCTTTGGGGGACACTGTTCCACCCGCGAGACAGCGGCTAAGAAAAGAGCATTAATCGAGCACCTGGTACCGAGCTGCTGTGACAGACCCGCGGCCACCGAGGGAATCCAGAGAGAGGCCGCCGGGCGGGTGGGGCAGAGGAGGAGGGTGGGCGGGAAGGGCAGTGAGGGCAGGTCGTCATCGGGGGACGAGGGCCACTTCCAGCACGTCCAGAAACGTGGAGGCTTCTGGTGCGTCTACATTAACGTCTGGGAAGGAGCCAACACCTGGAGGGGGCACAGCCTTTGACGGCCCGCAGGCACCCAGCTGCTCTGGTGTCTGTGATCCGTGCCGGGAGGGACGTGGGGTCAGGAGGGCAGGGAAGGAGAAGGCGATGAAGGCCCGTCGTCCACAGGTCCGGCCCCTGAGGTGGGAACGCGTATCCTCACCCGGGAGGACGTCCCCCTACGTGTAACGGGGCCTACACGGCTGCTCTGAGAGAAAGACACACACACACGCACACACACACACACACGTGCAAAGGGAACGTTTAAGTCCAAGTTAACATAAGGAAAGGAGCGGGAAGAGAGAATAACACTAGTTGAGCACTTACTGTTTGCTAGACCCTGGGCAGGTGCTTCAGATGTGACTTCAGTCAACGCCCTTATCGACCAAGGACGAACTTGAGCCCCTAGGGTCCCCCTCATGTGAGGTCAGAGGGGGTCAGGTCCAGGGAGGGTGGGCAGCAGGGCAGCGTGAGGGCGGTTGGAGTTCGCTGGGGACAGTTTGGGTTTGGGAAGATGGCCCGTTCTGGGGCCGGTGATGTGACGGTCGCACAGGAATGTGAGTGTGCCTGACGCCCCTTAACCGTGCACCTAAAATGTCTATGAAGGTACGTCGTGTGTTGTGTGTATTTGACCACAGAGAAAGTCGTGACCCCCATCCTACCAGAAGGCTGATGTCCGGGGAGGGGGTCTGCACGACCTCCCCAAATGCACACGGCCGGCCGGAGGCCGGGCACGTGTTAACCCAGAGCTGTGAGATTCAGACGCTTCTGACGACCCGCACTCCTTACAAAGAAGAAGGTGCAGGGGCGGGGAGGGCGTTACTCATCGCGGGTCCATAAATAGAAAAGAACGGAAGGCAGTCCGACCGTGGAGACTCCGCGTTCACAGAGTAAACGCCCTGCTTGGAGCCGTTGTGTCGCTCTTCCCCAGGCCTAGTCCGCGAAGCTGGTGTTCCTCACACACGTGTAGGTGTGTCCCAGAGCTTGCCGGGCCTGGGGTTTCCCTGCAGGGAAGTCAGCTCTGCACCTGCCGGGGCGGCGACCACCACGCCAGCCGTCTCCGAAGGAGCATCAGGGCAGCTTTCTCGGAGAAGGGACATCTCTGAGACGTGAGCTGGGGAGTCGTGGGCCTGGCCGGGCAGCAGGAGGAAGGGTGCCCCCGGGGAATTTGGCCAGTCCTTGTCATCCTGGCCACGGGCGGCCGCTCTCCCTCCGAAGCAGCGTCCCCACTCCGGCTGGCCCCGACGCGGCCCGTCACCGCCACCCTGTCCTCTGGGGAGGAGGCGGCCGCCTGCCATCTCTCGTCTCGTATCTTCGGGGGACGCCGGCAGAGCCGCGTGCTGTCCGCGAGGCAGCTTCCACGTGTGCCCACCCACCCCACCCCCCCCGGTGTGGGGTGCCTGGGAGGCGTGGTGGTCGTACGCCAGGAGTTCAGGCACGTGAGGACCGTTTCCCGGTGCGAACGTACTCCAGCATGCGCAAAGCCCCCGGGCGCGGTCGCGGCGGCGCCCCCGCCCCAGGAGTCGGGACGGTCCCCGTGGTAGGCGGACCTGCTCTCGCTCCCCGTTCACCACGGGGCGGCCCCGCCGAGAGGACACTCGTGAGTTTCCAGCCGTGCCCGCCCTGCCTGACAAGTGAGCCCCTTCAGAGGGAAGCCGAGGCCGGCGGGACCCGCTCGGGGCAGCGGGAGTCCAGCGGGTGCCCGGTGAGCGTCAACACGCTCGCCGTTACCGTTTCAGCAAGAAAACCAGCCTGCGGTCCCGTGGGGTCGTCCGCTCTCTGGAGACTTTCTGCTGTAAAGTCTCAGCTGGGGGAGCGCGCCTTCTCCTTTCCAGAAGCGATGGGCTGGGTTTAAATAGTGTTTTTATCTTTGGGTGTCTCTCGATCACGGTTCTTACGGTGGCCAAGAAAAAACCCTGAGCCAGCTCCGAGAAGGGAGCCAAAGAAGGCACACGTTCTCCCTCCCAAGTTCGTTGTGCGCATGGGCGGGCAGGGGCAGGCCGAGAACACCGGAAGAAGAGTCGGACAAAGCCCGGAGGCTGGATGGGCCGAGGACCGAGTCTGCTGTGTGTCTGCCCTGCTCTCGCGGCCCAGGTCTGGGGGGGGTGGTGAGAGGGCAGGTGGTCCCATCATTGTTCTGAGAGACAGAGCGTGAGCAGGGGAGGGGCAGAGGGAGAGGGAGAGGGAGAGGGACAGAGAGAATCCCAACCGGGCTCCA